AGTTTATTAAAATTAGTTTGCAATAAGTTAAGAAAAATTGTTTTGAACTCTTTAGCCTTTAGTAGCATAAACTAATTGTAGCTCTTTATATAATTTACTTCAATATTTTCCACTCTGATGGATTATGTAAACTCTCTCTCTCTCTCTCTCTCTCTCTCTCTCTCTCTCTCTCTATATATATATATATATATATATATATATATATATATATATATATATATATATATATATATATCAAAGTAAAATATTTAACCAGCTCTTTTCCCAAAATTTGTTGATTTCCAGACAAAATTTGGGACTTATGAATCCTGGAAGCTTCATCCTTACTGGCTAGCTTCCATGGTGCTAGAAGCTCTATGTGAGCTACTGGAGAAGAAAAACAACCATCACGCAATCCTAGCTAGCTATTAGTTCTGTAAACTGCAGGAATGACTGGCCTGGGAAGACTTGCTCACTGGTGCAACAGTGGCGTGAATATCAGGGAAGTGACAACTTCTTCGTCACTGAATTTAAGATCTGCTACACGAGACAAAGCTCGTACCCAGTGCCATTTTTTTTTGTTCTAGAACCAATGGCTAGGCAGTTTATAAGCCATAGGAAAGAAGCTCCTACTATTACGATGCTTAACAGACAAAGGAACCAACTCATAATAAATTATCATTAAACACATAGACCATCACTTCTCTCAACATTAATCTGAGATGTCCCTTTTTGCAGTTGATGGTGACCCACAACTGCCCAAAGTTTAGTAAATAAGACTGCAGAAACTCAGACCTAAAGGAAACATTTATATAAAACATATCTTCTCCCATATCTCAGGGATCATTACAAAAGAGGGGAGCATAAAAATGTAAGATCCTGGGCTGGTGAATGACTCCAAGGGAAGATTATCTTCTGGACCTGGGAGGGTAGCTACACGTATAAGCTCATAACAGTCATGAGAGCATAAATCATGTACAATTCCTAAGCATACCAAATCATAGCATGGAGAGGGGAGTTGAGCACACCATCCCACAACAAGATAGATACACAATTATTAGAGACTCTTCACTCTCAGGAGAGGTTGAGACAGCTCTCCCTAAGAGTGTATCACCTGTGAAGTCAACCATGCACTGCAGAAGACCACACTGCCATGAATACTTAGACAACATAAATTGGTCTTGAGGCATTAAAAATAGAAAAGACAGAAATAGCAAATAAAGGACACAAGTTATATGGGTAGGGAAGGGAGCTGAGTTCAGAAAGTGTTAGAGGCAGAATATGATCAAAAGCACATTGTGTGAAAGTCTCAAAGAAATAACAAAAATAAATATAAAAAATTTAAAATATCATTGGCTAAAATAAAGAATTGCACAACAACCTTTAACAGGTCCTTACCAGACAAAGGTAACTCATTAAATTTCCATCAGATAGCAAATTTTACATTTACCTAAGTTAAATACAATGGTATTGAATTATTCATTTTACACTGAAAGTAATATAAATTTATTCTAAATTTAGAATAGTTGAAACTCATTGCAATATTAAATTCTTTATTATATTTTTTATTTTATCAGATTTAAAGAGACATTACTATTTCAGTGGTTTCTATTTTCAAAAAATGCGAATGCACTTCATCTTACAAATTGAACAATTCATTTCATCACAATTTTCATTTTTTCCAATGAAATACACATTTACCTAGGGTACAACCAAAATATTTCACATAGATTATTTTCTCCTATTAGAAAACATAACCAAAACATTTCTCAGGTAACCAAGTTAATAAATTTTAGTATCCATAAATTAAAATACTAAAATGTAACCAAGTAATAACGACTATATACTCTATTCCAAGATAAATGGAATAGTAATTTAAACAGCAGATGCTGAAGAAGGCAGAAACAGAGCCAACTTACATCAGAACTGGATGAATACAAAATCGTGAGCAGAATCAAGTTCCAGTCTGGATGTTTATGTCTGATACACAGTCACCAGGAATGGTCAGTTGACTCAGACCGTGAATGGAGAACCAGAGTCCTGCCTCTTCTCTTTTCTGTTTTGTCAACATTACTGGAAGTTATTGTTCTCGGAACATAGCTGTCTGTTCAGAGGGAAAGCCTATGTCCAGTCTTGAGTGAGAGTGTGTGCCACTCTCCCAAAGAATACCATAGAAGCTTCTTAGTTGGGGAAGTTATGTCAACCATCAACTTCCTGAATACACTGACAGATTTAGTTTTTCTCCATGCTATGTCTAATCTGTAAAGCACAAAATACTTTTTCACATAAAATGCTTTAAATCTAGAACCTTGGTCACTAGATAGTCATATGAATTTTATAACTGAAACATTTTTACTTCACTACTCATCACTAAAAACCAAAAGCAAAACAAGTATGGCAAATTCAAAGCGACAATTATTTCACCTGTTTCAAACACTAGCTTGCCTGCCAATTGCCACATATCAACAGAACTATAATTGGCCAATTATACACTGGCTTCCCAAATTCATCTTCACAACACAACACCAGAATCAAAAGACAGCACAGGACTTTCTCTGATATAATATCAAATCTTATTCTATGCCTAATTTTCAGCATTCACCCCACAGCAAACTTGACCACCATTCTTTTGGAACCCACACCTAAGAATCTTTGGCTTACCTTGTTGTTAGACAAATATTCACAACAAACACATCAAAGATCTAGAGCTCTCATTCTCATCATTAGCATGATGAGTGTTGATCTGGTTTGGTGGGACACTTGTGTGAAGGACGACATAACAAATGTTCTGGTAGTCTCTTTTTCTTGGATTACTTCATTTTAATACATTCCCAACAGTTTTATTTTGAAAAAAAATTCTAGAATTAACACTTTAAAATATGTGTTAGAGCAGTGGTTCTCAACCTTTCTAATGCTGCCACCTTTTAAAACATCTCCTCATGTTGTGTTAACCCAACCATAAAATTATTTTTGTTGCTACTTCATGACTGAAATTTTGCTACTGTTATGAACCATAATGTATTCCAGTGGTCTTAGGCAACCCCTAAGAAAGGTTTGTGCAAAGGGGCTATGACCCACAGGTTGAGAACCATTGCTTTATACTATTTTTACTAACAAATTTTGGTTATTTTTCATGTTAAAAGTTTAATAAAAAGCAGCCTTAGGCTGAACATAACTCTTGTTTAAGGAATAAAGGAGCCAACTAAGGGCTGATCCTCAGAATCCAGACAGAGCAGACCAAACTGGGAAAATCTCATCCTCCATTCCTGTGCCGCAAGCACTGAGACAGACCATGTGATGAGTGAGTCTTCCTTTTTTTTAGCTGCTTAATTGTTGTGTATTAAGACAAGACGTGAGCATTCATGTAGGATTTAAATCTGAGCAATGTGAAGTCCTTACTAAAAACATCATAACCAAGGAAAATAATACTAAAAAGGAAACAGGAAGAAACAGGTAAAGTTTCCATTAACTTACTCACAAAGCTTATCCTAGGAAATTGTACTGTGCTACACTAATTGTCAGGTAAGACTCCATATGTTGTAGCTACAAAGCACTAACTCCACAGCGGGCATTCCTTTTAGATTTTTCAGTCTACAAACATGTCACTGCACAGGATTTTCAATTGGAGATTTTGGAAAAATATGAGAATGATAACTATTAAACTGACTGAATTATAGAAATAGTATAAATTATAAATATTACAAAATACAAACATTAAGGCATTAAAAGCCTTCATATGAAAATGTTTTGAAAGAACAAAATAAGAAGATTAAGATACTTAGGGATAATTATGAACACCTCTTTCTTTGTCTTCTAATAAACAGAATTTTCAGTGGTGACAAGCATGTCCTAACCCAACAAAATGATTCTAACTGAACAATGCATGACTATACACTTTGGTCATCAAAATGTACCTGAGCAGTGGGCTGCAGAAGTACGTTCTACCTCTACTGTCTAAGTGTACTCATTGTATCATCCACTTGACTCCATCACACTGTCAAAATATCTAATGAAGACTGAGAATGGAAAAAGCCCTCATTCTCAACATGGCAAAAATATCTGTAAAAATGGTATGAAACAGTATACAATTCAGCATTTTTCCTAAATTTAGAAGACAAAAATCAGGTGTAGAATATTCCTTTTTCTAAACAAAATAATTTTGAGTCTTGAAGTTGTGGTAAATTTTTAGAACAATTAAGATTAAAAAATAAAATCTTTTGAGGATACATTGTAATTTTAATCAAGTTACATTAAAATACTGCAGATAATTTTGATTAAATACTATCTTTCTTCATCGTTGCCAATACTGTGACCTACTTACACTGGTAGAACAGTAAGTTATCTTTTAAAACTTGACTATTAAATAAAAATATATTTTACTAAGAGTAAAATTTCTCTATATTTTTATTCAAAACTCAGTATGTCAGCTTAGGCTCTGTCTTCCATCTGGAAACACTGTGTAGGACTGAATTGAACTGTCAGCTTAAGAAATTAGTGTATGCTTTATTAAGTCATTCAATAAAAATATACTGAGAGAAAATAGTCTTAATTATTATGGAACCACAAAAAATAAATATATGAAAGGAAATGCCTACAAGACAAAGGTAAACAGTAACTTCCCTAAGTTAGCCCATGTGTGATTCCAGAAGGAAATGTAAACCAGCGTTTAAGAGCACAGAACACCTCCAACATTTTTGTTTCCTCACACCGCGCAAGAGAAAACAGAAGAAGCACATCTTTGTTCAGGGACTTTTTTATCTGGCCTTTGCCATTGTCAGCTTCCATGCTTTTATATAGCCAAACTATGCAGAACATCTTAGCGATCAACGCCTCCATTACCTCTCCACTGCACATTTGAATTTTTCCCAAGTTGCCTTTACTTAATGTGTGAACTTTCAATGAACGCATAGAACCTTTCAAAAATTTACATTCAAAAGCCGTATCAGGAAGCATAGAAGAACGCAAACAAAAACTATCACATACTTTATGATGAATGGTGAAAGAAATAAGAAATATCTTACCAAGTACCCCAAGCCGATAGTTGACTGTGATGACGATCACATTGCCATAGCTTGCCAAGACACTCCCATCATATAGATTTCCAGTGCCTTCCATGTAAGAGCCACCATGGATGTACACCATCACTGGCTTGGGACCCCCACTGTCCCGAATATCTGCAAAACAAATGGTTAACATTTATTCTTACCCTCAACAATAGGCATAATAAAACAGTACATTCGCATGTTAAGGACAAGGAGGGCATGATTTTGATGTCTTTAAATTGCTGTTTTTCTTAAAGTGTTTCTTAAGCAATTCCTATTGAGAGCTATTGTAGAAAAAAGCAACAGGCACCCATTATTTTCTGTTAAAACCTTTGTTTTCAAGAGATAGACATAGTATTCCTGAATTATAAATTAAGGACAATGGTTCATTTCTATGAGAGTCCAGGAATCTGCCCCTCCCCTATTTACTGTGGAGCTTTGTATCAAATACAACATGATTATATTAAGTCATTTGTGCTCTCATTTGTGAATATAATTATACATTGTACTATTCATTTCAGAGTTTGATTTTACTGCTTAAGTACTGTCAAATGATTGTTCAGACAGTAAAATTACGTGCATCTGAGCACCTGTTGTTGGTGTATTTATGGGAATGTCATTTAAATGATGTTCTTAGGAAAGCCATGGAGTTCATTCATCCAAACCAGATGACAAAATTATATTTGCACCACTTCCTGTAGCTCATGTACTCTTCTTAGTCCACTGTGATGTCATGTTTTTAATCGTGTAGATGTGAGATGATTACGCTAAGGTCAAGTAAAGAATGGCAAAATGTAGTGTGACATTAATGTGATTTTCTCCCATTCTCAATTTCAGACACTTTATTTTGCTAAGATACACTGACAGCAACTATGTGGTTTTAAACAAGAATGCAGAAATATCATATAAAAAGTGATTTTATCAATATTAAAAATGTATAATTTCTGTTGAAAAGGCTAACCCGTGTGTTTATTCAGTTACAAACATTAAAATACCAAAAGATGACTATAAATAAAACATTACTACTTTATAGCAAGTTGTGGTCCTTTTTCTCATAAGCAACCTTGTATGGAGAATATTTTTAACACTGGTTTGAAAGTGTCATTCATGGATATTTTAATTTTTTACTTTAAATATTTTAATCAAACTAAACTCCCTTAGAAACTTCCAGTCATGAACCCAGCATTCAGTGGAGTTGTAAGTTAGAAATCCCGGGAGAATTGATGAGGAATTAGGGACCAGTTTGCCATCCCTTTAGAAAGGAGTGACCTATTTCAATGCCTCATGCCTTCACTTTTTCCTACTGTGATAAATGATTTCTCTGAATGAATGAAAACTCATTTTCAGATCACATCTTGCAGTTTCTCTTGTTTATTCAGACTTTCAAGTTGAGGAAATGGCTCAGGGCACATTTTGGAGTCTTTTTTTTTTTTTTAAAAAGATAACCAATGATTTCAAAAATTTTTTTTAATAGTTTCTTCATTCTTTTATAATTGAATTTTAATATAGCATAAATTTAATGGACTTCATTGTGACATTTTCATACATTAGCCATTACACTTGTTCTCAGGTGTCCCTTTAAGAAAAATCAATTTAAAATATCCCACTGCCTGTATATATGCAGGCATCCTTCCCTCCCTCTCCAATGGATGTACCTCACAAGAATATCCCGGTTTTGAGTAGGAACACTTTTACAGTGTAATCATCTGCTAGGCATAGTCACCACATTTGCTCTGAAATTCTTCAACAGGAAGAAGGTATTCTCTCTTTTATTTATTTTATGTGTATGGGTGTTTTGCCTGCCTGTATACATTGCGCACCACATGTGTGCCTAGTGTCTAAGGTACCGGAGCGTGTCCAATATCCTCTGGAGCTGGAGTTACAGACAGTTGTGATCGACATGTGGGTACTATGAGTTGAATCTGGGTGCTCTTGAACAGTCAGTGCTCTTAACCACTGAGTCAACTTTCCAGCCCCTGTATTCCCTCTTTTACCAAGATTTAGGGGTTTGTGGAGGTGTTAGATTGAAACAGGGGAAGGAATCCCTTCTAAATCATTAAACTCCACACCTAAAATGCCTGCTTGCTACATACAATTTTAGCTTATTTTTCTTGTAAGGTTGGCATTGAAGAAGCAATAATAAATTATTAAACTGAAATCATTAGCCGAACTGTTCGCAGCAGACACTGTACTCGGCTAATTGTATGCTTGGAGGTAGCACAGAGGGGGGCTGTTTCAGAATTCTCCTTTAATTAAAATTACATAGAATTACAAAGCACCCACTGTGAACAGTAATGAAGTCTTGGTAGAGCCGTTCTGTTCACCTGGAAGACAATACTGGCACACATTGGGAAGATTAGCCCCGCACCTTGCAGCAGACACACATGGGCTGGCTCACAGAGTGCAATCATGTCAGAAGAATCTAGGGTCTGAGCCTAGGCGAGTCTCTCTCTCTCTCTCTCTCTCTCTCTCTCTCTCTCTCTCTCTCTCTCTCTCTCTCTCTCTCTCTCTCTCTCTCTCTCTCTGTCTCTCTCTCTCCTTGAAATTTATACTTAAAGGAATCACAAATACTTAGGTAAATTTGAATTTTTAACTCAGTTTTTCAACTTTTCAAATATTTTTGGTCTTGCCTAAGAAGTTTGAGTATTGAGCTCCTCTTTGATAAGAAATTAAATTAAATTGTAATGCTATGTACTAATTTTTTCTTTTGAAGTGATTCTGAACTTAAATACTGTAACATGTGTTGATAACTAAAATTACTGAACCTAAATTAATTTGCTATTTGGGAACTTTTAGAACACATTGGAATCTTCTAAAATAAATAACTGGAATTCTTTGTTAGTGGCCTATTTTTTACCTGAGAAGCACATTTTCATTTGTTTGCACATTTCATTTGTTTGCTCAATCCCTAAGTCTTTTTGTTCTTAAAAAAAATTAAAAACAGTTAAAAATCACAGTTACTTACTTTGTTTTTTAAAACAGAACAAGACATTGATTGATAAATGGAATTGATATATCAGACACCACAATATTGAATAATATCTTTTCATGATCTTTAATGATTACAGTTTGACAGTTTCTCTATTTTACCTTCAGCTCATGTATTAAACGTACTTCAGTAGTTAATATTGAATATTTTAGATCCACAGTGCCTTTTAAACCTTCTCTATTATTTCATTCCCTACCTAAAAGATGAAGTGCATAAACTTGATACTTTACCTACAATTTTTCACTTTGAATAAATAGCTACTTCAGACTTTACTAAAATTGGCACTTTGTGAGCTCTCAAAACACTAGCTTAGTTCTAGTCCAAGTGTAAGTTTTCACAAGCATATTCATGTTTTTTTTGCTTGTTTTAGGCCTTGTTAAACACAGAGTTTGAGAGGAGTGGTAAAGGAAATCCTGCAATGATGATTATTTTCTTCTAAAGTATTAAGAAAGAACTGTAAGTTTTTAAAGTTAATGAAATAATACACTTGGAATATTAGCCGTTAGCCTCAGTAACTATTGCATCCTACTTACAAATATTTTAGGCCAAAGTAGAAAATGTTAATGAGCTAGACCAGTTCACAGAGAGTCTTTGTGCTGGATAGTTGTGACTCAGCATCCCGTTCCTCTCAATGGGCCCAGTAAATAATTGGTAGACAAATTCCTTAAACATGTGTATTTTTCTCTTTTAGGACCGTGGACTGGTTAATTGTCTGTATTTTAGAGATTTGGGAGATTTTAACTTGTGAAGCATTGTCTTAATTAAATTTTTGTCTGATCCATATAAAGAGACCCTTGAAGACACGTCTGTGCCTTTCACTCATGTTTGTGGTGCCAGTTATCTTTTAGAACTGCTCATGGAAAATAGAAAGTGTGGCTTAATTTGTTCTTGCTAACCTAGACACAAAACAAACATGTTTGGTTACAAAATAAATGAGAATCTACAGATCAATGTTTAGGGAACTTGAGAATCTCTGCAGAGATAGTAAAACTGTGTCTGAATATTAAAATGTTAATTTTGAGATATTCTTGGCACAATTAAATATATCTCTGCAATCTTCTAAGTTCCTAAACTAAGGTGAGAGAAACCTTGGCTACTATTTCAAATCATTTCTATGACTTTAGATTAGCCTATAAGACACATAGTTCTTTTGATTATTATAAATCATAAATTAATAATGATGTGACTGTGTTCAGCCTAGAGACTGTTGCAGATGGGGAATTAGACATAACACTCCAGGATGCAGAGAAGTCTTATTGCAGCTAAGTAAATAAAGGACGAAGGATGATGAATGGCAAAGGGAGCCCAGAATGCAGTGGCCAAGACGAAGCCAGGAAAGCTATGGAGAGTTGTCCTGGCTTCCAGTGAAGGAAAGGAGCCCTGCACAAGTGATTTATACCCTTTGCTCTGTGTCCAGTGATGACAATTCAACATTTGCCACAAATCCAAACTGCTCATTAGTTTATTTATTTGCATCACATCTACAAAATAATTCTAAGAGCAGTAAAGAGGAGATTATCAGAATTTACTAAATGTTTTCTTCATGGAATATCTGAATTTATCCTTTTTGCTTTGAAGTAATTTTCTAATGTAGAACAGAGGAAGGGACTTCAATAGAACTGAGTGTTTTATTTAGTTTTCACTTAGTTTTCAACATTTAAAAGCATTCCTTGACTTGGTAGCTCTGGCAAAGTGGCTTCCCATGTCTTGAATGAGACCTGACATTTTAACAAGTGTTTTGGGTATTTTTAATAATGAGCTAAAAATGATAAACATGATTCAAAAGTGATCTGTAAAACAGATGCAGGTGCAACAGGGCTTAACTTACTATCAATACTCAGAGGTACCTACTCCAAGCATGTAGATATATATGTGAGCTATCTTACTCAATGGGAAAATAATCTAATTAAATCAACACCTGAAAAAATTTAAACTGGAATGATGATTTATTTAAGTCTTGTGACTACATTACTAAATTTTGGACTTTGCAAATGCAGTTCTCTATACTAACAATGTAGAGGATATTGGATTTTTAAGGAATTTTATATATTTTACATTTTCTTAAAGCACAAACCTAGAACATCACCCATGTTCTATAATAACATAGATAATTTCTGAATCTTTGACTATATCAGACTTAGTATAAGTTTATCTTTCAACTATTTAGCCCTGGAAATGATGCATCTTGAAAAGTGATATTTAGTTATTTAATATTAATAGTAGTATTTAGCTTGTGCTTAATGGCTAATTCTTCATTGGGATCCATGGTAAATGAATTTATAAACAAATAATAATAACTACACTAAGCCACAATTTAAAAAAAATTACTTGTGTGTGTGTGTGTGTGTGTGTGTGTGTGTGTGTGTGTGTGCATGCACACACCTAAGAAATTTGAGGAAGTGGAGAATAAAACCTCTTGGAGCTGGAATTATAGGTATTTATGAGCTGCATGGGTGAGTGCTGGGTTCTGAACTCTGGACCTCTGATAAAGCAGTGTGGTGGTTTGAATGACATTGGCCCCTACAGGCTTATGTATTTTCATGTGTCCTGCCCAGTTAATGAGCTATCCAGGAAGGAGTAGGAGGCATAAGCTTTATTGTCAGAGGTGTCACTGGGAGTAGGCTTTGAGTATTCACGATCCCAGTCCAAGCTCAGTGTCTATTTCTCTGTCTGCTGCCTGGTGAGTCGGATGTAGCACTCTCCTCTACTCTTGCACGCTGCCTGCTTAGCACCATGGTGATAATAGACTAAAGCTCTGAAACTCTAAGCAAGCCACCAAATAAATGCTTTCTTTTTAAAAGTTGCCTTGGTTATAATATCTCTTCACATCTTTGCAGCCCATTAATAATTCTTAAACGTTATAAAATATAAATTTGAAGATGTAACAATTAAGCTTTCAATATTTTATTTTTAACATTTAATTTTCCATTATAGAAGAGTTTGTTGAGTATGTCCTAACAAAAAATTAAAAATAAATGGATACAAATTGTTTCTGAAGGTGATTTAGTCAGAGACTCCTTCAGCTTGTTGAGAGAGTAGTTCTGCTGACCTGGGAGCAGATAGTTTTATTTCAGAAAATCCTTCCTACCTTCTTATTAATATCTTTTTGAGATTTAAAGCTTTGGGGGAAGATATAAGATCATACATTGTACTAATCACCTCTCTAAAAATTATAATTAGGGTAACATACAAATCCAAAACAAAGAAAATGTACATTAAAAATAAAATCCTGAATGGGAGGAAGATAGGCTGAATGGAGCCATATAGCCTAATAGAAACTTAGTTAAATATCAGATAGGAAGACAGATGCTAAGAGAGCATGTGGATACATAGATTTACCAATTAACCAGAATTGTATGCTTTGAGAATATAGGAAACAGAAAAGAATTCCCATATTAATGAAGGAGAAAATAGTTCATTACTTGAGGATGATTATACTTTGATAGCTAGAAAATTTTGTTTCACATTGTTAGATTATATAAAAAGTATATACCTTTTGAAATGAAAAGACATACCTGTAATCTTGTATTTTTAAATAAAAGATATAGTTGTAATATTGTTTTTGAAATACCTATTAAATTTGTCAAAAATATTTTTTAAGTTTTTTTTATTTCTTAATAATATACGTCTGCACATATATGTTCAGGTGTGAATGTGTGTCGGTTCAGGTGTGACCCATGGTGGCCAGAACAGAGCACAGGACACTGAGTTACACCTGACATGGGTGCTAGGAACTGAACTAGGAGCCTATACAAGGACACATAGCTCTCTTACCCTTAGAACAGGTCTCCACCATCAGGAAATAATGTATTACTAAGGGACCAGGTGACTTATGTGGTTACACTTTGTTTATTACTCACCCTAACAGTTGTGGAGCCTTTGTTATCTATGTAATATCATTTTGCTTATGTGCTATTTAAGAATATCAACACAAAAAAAGGATTTTTTTAAAAAGTCTAAATCATATTGCTCAAGAAACACTTTGTATCTGTTTGTCTCTCCTTTAATAGAGCATGGAGTACTTTTGAAAAAGGAAGTAAAATGTAAAAATGATACACAGTCAAACTGGCCCAAATATCTACATAGATTAGAGCACATGCAATGGGTACAAGGACTACAAGTGGGGGTTGTTAGTTCAAAGAATATGGACGGATTCATCAAAACATGGGATGAAACATATCAAAAGTCAGTTCAAGAAAACCAAAAAAGAAAAAAAAAGCCCCTCTTTTTAAAACATCTTAATGGTTGGCATCAAAATGTAAAACAGAACACTCACTTTAAAAAAATTTTAAATGTATATTCATATGTAACAACAAGCAAGAAGACAAAACACATCAAAAACAGGAATTAAGAAAAAAACTCTTCAAAAAAAGACAAGAAGTAAAAAAATAGAAAAGGGTGGAAAAAGTGATTGAAGCCCTGGTCATGCAGATAGATTCGGTGGGAGAAAAATACCTTCATCTTCAGCACCGTCATTATCACCTAAATCATCTGTCTGTTTCTTTGTAAGGGGACCTAGGATTGAGAACGGAGAAATGGAGGGAAAAAAAAAGACAATTCAAGAATAAACAAGATTGAGGGGGAAAAATAAATATAAATACTAAAATTCTCAAGGATATTTCAAAAAAGAGTGGGGAAGTGGTTATATCACAGTTGATTATTTTTTTAGAAAAAAAATCCCCTTCCCCAAAATATCTCCTAGTTTTGGTTTCTGAACATTTTCAACATTTAAAATACACTATAGCTTAGTATTTCAGTCATAGGTCAAAGGAATGATTTTTGTTAAAAAAATACGTACTTCATATAAAAAGTAAACAGTTTAATTAGTTGAATGCACTTAATTTATTCAAAGTCCTGTCTAATTAAAATTTATGACAGTCATAAAGATATAGCAGGTCAAACTATTCTTTAACTCGGGACTAGAGGATAACACTAGGAAAAAAGAGAAACGTTTTGTAAGTTGTACTTTTTCTGCTTTTTAAAATTCTGTCTTTGTATGATCATTACTGCTTGTGTTTTACACATTTTTAATTTATACGTTTTTAAAAACTGTGACTTTTTAAAATTACTTGTCATGACACAAGAACTCCCCCGTGTGTTTTAATTTAAATGTTAGTTGTGGATTTAGGGCAATTGCCACATGCAGAAATGTATCAACAGATAATTTTGTTACTTGGCAGAGGAAAGGTACCATCAATAGAAGTCATGTTTAGCTATCTAAGTAGTTAAACAGTCAGGGCTAATACTTCAAAATCAAATTTATGAACCAGTGGAATCATGCCATTGTGCAATTTCATGCCCACTATACTTATTTATAATAAAATCATGTTTTAGAAGGATAACTGTATGAAAACACTGTGAATGTTTAATAAATTTTTTTATCATCCCTAACAGTGCTAATTTGCTGGTAGAAGAGAACACACCAAAGGGGAAGTCAAAGGCCATATGACAGTAATTTTAAGTGCCACAGAGTTGACACACCCAGCACACAGAAAGCAAGTCAAGCCCCAGATTTCCTTTCCATCTCCACAATCATTTCATTTGTATGACATTTCATAATCCTCATGCAAAAAGCAATCACTACAAACACGGACACTCTATTTAAAAGGACAGCCAATCACATAGCAATAATCAAAAGAATTTTGTCATGCATAATGTAAGAGTCTTAGAAAACAGTGTGAAAGAATGGACAGTCATGGCTTGATTCCCAGCAGGTGAGGAGGAACAAAGCAAGTCTTAACTATAAGCATTCAGCACAGGGAAGGAATGATAAACATTTGAGAGAGATTTGTCCATCTTTTCAGAAAAGACTTTTCATTACATTTGCAATTTAAAACAAAACCTATCATAACATCCCTCAAAGAGTAGAAAACACCATACCAAAAACAGAAGGAGAAATAAGATGTAACACGATTATGTTTTTTCAGGTCAGAGAAATACTACTGCAAATATCAGTCACTGATGAAGATCAAAATACTGAAAAAGTAAAAAATTGATGATATAAAAAATTTGGTGATATAAAACAATTGGTGATAGTTCAATTACAAGGTCATGGGTTCAAGGTCATTCAAAATAAAGACAAGTAACTGTGCAAAACAATTCAGTTACATGCTTTAATAAACACATCTCTAAATACTGTTCTATGGAAAAAACCTAGACGAGAGGAGCAGTTCATGTTGCTTCTCAGTTGTAATCTCACAGATATCCTTACCTAATAAGATCTTGTTCAAATGCAAAAGACATATATGGTTATGTGATGTTTTTTAACTGTGCTTATTAACTTAATAACAGTCCCTCAAAATAAAAAAAATCTTTAAATTCTATATTTTAAAATTGGGGAATTGGACTATCTGAAACATTTTCAATTTCAAAATATCCTTCAAAATGCTTAAATAATATTTATTTCCTAAAGATTTAAATATTTTTCACATTTCTATTTCCATATATATATATATATATATATATATATATATATATCGCTTATCTATTGGTTAGCAAGCAACACAAACTGAGAACAATGGTGCTTACTGCTTGTAAATCTCCATCTACTCTCCAATTTTCACTAAATTACTTAGTTTTCTTGATTCTTGAGTTTTAAACAATCAGTAAAATCGGCTCTTTTGTACTGACTCATTAGTTTGATAATATTTGAAGGGATATGTAAATCCTGTCACATTGAGATGACTCTTCTTATCTTGTGCTATGTTTTTCCCTTAGAAAATCTGAATGGAAGCATATTGGGGTATCTAATGTAATTTCCACGGTCTGTATTGAAAGCCATTTAGGTTCTACAGCTACTGAGTTGACAATTTCATATGCTTCACATGCCTACAGGTTCCCTCTTGACCCTGTGTGAGATGAAACAGTCAGAGAGTGTTGTTAAACACTCTCTCCCACTGCTTTGCATGTGGGGCATAGTTGGCCATTGTTATGTACCTAAGTAGAGAAGTCATAGAAATCATTCTAGGTGGAGAGTGAAGAAGGTCTAAGGCTAGAATGCTTGACTGAGCTTTTCCTATAAGTTGCTGAGCTATCCTTTTCTTCCGCAGGAACCTGGGTGCCTCTTAATAGAGGACACTTTACATACCTACATACTGTAGTCAACCTGAAGTATTATAATCAGACATAAATACTTACTCAGTATCATAAATTAATGAAGACATTATCAGGGGAAAATGAAGGTGAATTATCTCAACTAGTAATTTTTTGATATACTAAATATTACCATTTGATTATGACATTAAATTGTTATTCCGGTACATGTATAGCTGTGTTTTAGTGATCTGAACATAATGGTACTTTCTTATCTCAAGATCATTTTATCTAACGTTTTTTGAAGTTTTATGAAGGTAACAATTCAGGGCAAAAAATGATCTTAATAAAGAAAATAGATTTCATTCAGATCTCTGACTAAAGATACTGAGAGCATACTAAGAGGGTCCTGAGTTGCCAAAAGAGAACTCATTGTTGGTTCTTCTTTGAGGAGGCTTCCACGGAGTAAAGACAGCCTGGGGTTCACAGCAGATCTCTACATGACTTCAAGGGTCCCTATACAAGTGCTAGAAGCAAATCACCCACTGCCCATCAGCAGCTCTGGTTCTTGTTCCCTATTCTGAAGTGTTATAACTTATATACTCACTGGTTTTTAAATATTTTTAGTAGAAAGATAATATTGTAAACACATAGCTAGTATTAGTGTCTTTGTGACAGGTGGGCTTTCACCCTACAGAGATTAGGCATTCCTAAAAATTGAGCATCCTGATTTCCTCAAGGGCAATTCTCTACCCTTTGAACAGAAATTAGTCACTAACAACATTCTAACCACAGCTTATGTTTCTTTTAAACAGCAAGTATGGCAAGCTCAGTATCAGCAGTTTTCATCAGGTATCTCAAAGCATCAACTATAAAGCAAATGAGACCACTCCACCCGTGTGTAGAAGTGATTTATTTTACCTTGAAACTCACTGGGTCTCTACTCCCAGAGGAATGCACACATAACTCTCATTAGAGTTAATAGGAAAGTAGACCTCGTGTCATTTTGAAAGGGAGTAAGAGTAATTACTGTATTTTATATCTTCTATAGGCAATAAATAGATTCAGTGGGGAAGCAACAGCACTTAAGCTAGCTACAGTGAACACCCAACCATGAACTTCAAACTCATTTCATTTCAAGAGTTCTTTTGTGATTTCCATAAATATAACTAAAGTCTCGGCCCTTACAAAGGACGTGTGATGCATTCTTACATTTTGGAATCTGACCATGGATGCCTTTTATTTTTTTAAAGAGGAATAAAAGTATCAGCATTTCTATGTAGTTAACTAGAGAATAATTATGAGCTCTGAAATAATTACTATCCACCCATATTAATGCCGCTTTTTATCATTCTCTTTGATGAAGAGCTAACACTTTAGTTCTCAAATACATTAGAACTGATTATAAATTCCTTCATTTTGTGTCACACAGATTGACAAAGGCAAGTAGGCTGAGAGTATTATTAGTTCCTGACTTAGAAGGTTGGCCATGAGAAATGCCCCTATCAAGGGAGGGGTCTCTAACTTCTGAGGATTATTTAGAGCTTCAAGCCCTAACAGGTTACAGATGACAAACAGAAGGCTACTGACCCTGCTGTCTTGCCTCACCCTCTCAACCCTGAAGCCTTTGATACAAACTGACTATAAAGAATTTTTAAGGTCACGTACACAGAATGAAAGCATTTAAGGGCATAGCTAGTGTTCTTTAATCATGAGACAAAAGCTAGTAAATAAAAGCTGAATCAAGTTTGAAAAATGAAAACTCTCTGTGTGTTCCATAAGAAAACCAATGCCAGAATTTAAGTAACAGTAGAGTATATTATTCAGCTTTTTCTCATTTATCAAACTGATAAACACCAAAACATAATATGTTTAAATAAGTATCATTCTAGGTTACTACTGCAAGCCCTACTAATTTATATCTCTATACTTATTGAACAAAAGATATTGCATGTCTTAAGTAGTCCATTATTTATGAACAGACATAAAGAAATTGTAGTTGAAAAGTCATTTTCTTCCTTGAAAAAAATTTAGACTGTAAAACTTTCTGAACAATTTTTAATGATTTCTTAAATATGCATTATACTAAAATAAAATGCATTATGAATCAGTGTGATGAGCTACTAGAAGCACATTTTGCAATAATTTATAATCTCAGAAGAATTCAAACATGTGCAGTTTTGGAGGTGGGCTCTGACACATGATGATTTCTTGGTGCTTCTTTGTGAGCTGCCTGTTTGAGCTACTAGCTCATATATGTATATTTGGAAAGGATCATATTCCACCTCCTAAAGGCAGCAGGCATGCTCTATGTTTATCTTTGTGTTGGAAGAAAACACCTACAAGAACACAGAATATATTCCCCTCCACAGTATTTCCGAGTTATAGAACAGCTTACAATGTAGCTTTTGGGAAAAGTCAATCTGTTGTTGAAAGTCAGGAAAATTTTTTAAAGTACCTGATTACAACATTTTGAAGTTAAA